AGGTCCCAGGGCCTCTCTCTGTTGTGGCCTCTCCCATTGTGGAGCACAGGCTCCGGACGCGCAGGCTCAGAGGCCATGGCTCACGGGCGCAGCCACTCCGCGGCATGTGGGATCTTCCCCGACCAGGGCACGAACCCGTTTTCCCTGCATCGGCAGGCGGACTCTCAACCACTGCGCCACCAGGGAATTGTGGTTGCAAAATCAGTCTTGGTATTACTTTCTTAAAAATAAACAAATGCAAAAAGATTTGAAAGTAAAACTTTAAATAACTTAAAAATATAAAGATGAACACTTGTGTAATTAGCACAAATAGAAGCAAAAATACTGAAATATAATAAATATAGTAAAATAGATATTTAAGTACATAAGTACATTAATAAGGTTATCTGTGATGGTCTGGTGCCCCCTATGAACTAGATGCTTTTACTTATAGTTGCTTAATACTACCAATAAATGTTTTGACAAATTTAATCCGTTTATTTTATGATGAAGGCGGAAAAAGACAAGTCTTTTGAAATTACTAAACGTGGGAGTACAATGAGTTGTATCTGTCCATAATTGTTTCTTTAAGAGCATACCTCTAGTTCCTTAGTGTAAGGAACGGCACCAAAAACGGGGGAGAGCTTAAACAAGCTTTATTTGGGAGCGCTCCCGGGCGAGGTTCACTGGTCCGAGAGAAAGGGGCCAGAGAAGTCGCGCCCGGGCGAGGGTTTGGGCAGAATTTATAGGGGAAGAAGGGAAAGGGGTGTGGTGAATCCGGGAGGGCGCAGGGTATTCTTTATTTGGTGGTCTTTTCGGGTATCGTGGCAATATCTGGTGCCGGTTGCACGTCTTGGGACCATTAGTTCCGCCCCTCGAAAGGCGGGAAGGCTGGGCAGGGTGGAAAGTCCCCAGGTCAGTTCCTGGAACTGGGTGGTCCGGAAAGTCTCCAGGTCAGTTTCTGGAACTGGGTGGTCCGGAAAGTTTCGATCTGATGCAACCTGTGAGTCTGATTGCGTTCCCCTGCCTCGGGCCAGTTGGCCTTACACTTAGCTCTTAATCTTTCTTGCAAGCTTGATAATAAAGAGAAGGATTTCATGATTTCTTGCTCTGACAACTAACTACCCAGGTGTAGCAGCTGTGTTCTTTCTTTTCCAGAGAAAAACTGTTTCCTTGGAAGGGCTTTTTCACAGCCATTATGGAGTCTTCACAGCTCAGGGGAGTCCTTCCATCCCCAACTACTGCAACAAGCCGGTCTCCAGGACTTGCCAATGCTGATGAAGTCCAGTGAAGAACTTCTCCAGGCCAGTCTCATTCCAACCGCCCTCTTATGCTGAACAGTTTGAAGATTTGCTGAAGCATCTGATGGAGGAGAGCAGTGATTTGAGCTTTCTGGACCTTGCTGCCATCTACCAGAAACAACAGAAGACCATTGGAACCAGCTAAATGTCCATCGGTAGGGGACTAATCAAATAATGTAGGACACACCCATTCAATGGGAAACAGTACAGCTATTTAAAAAGATAAAGCAGTTATCTATATATGAATGAGAAGATCTCCAAGTTAAAAAAGATAGGTGCAGAACAGTGAGTATAGTATGCTATCTTTTATATTAAAAAAGGGGGAGAGTGTAATAAAATAATGTACCTATATTCTCATCAGTTGGCATATGCATAAAGAAACTGGAAGGATTTAAAAGACAGTAATAACTTCAAACTGTGGAAAATGTTGGAAGCATTTGTGTCAAAGTATACATTTATTCATATGCCCAAATTCCAATTGACTGGTAATTAAAAAAATGTAAGTTAGCAAAATATCCATAAAGGGAAATAATCAGTAGCAGGGAAATACACACTCAAACATTGCTGGTGACAGTATTTTGGAAAAAAAAAATTGTCTTCAATCAGCATTCTGCCCTTAGGATTTATCCAAAAACAGGTAAAGTTTTGTGCTCAGAGTCTATAAAACAGTGCAGAACAAGAAAATATATATTCAGGAACGAATGATGGGCAAGGAAACTATAGTATGTGTAGTTATTAGACAATTGTGTATCCATTAAAAAATATGAGTAGAAAACAAAAGCACAAAAAATTTACTGATGATGGAATTCCATTGCGTGGAAAAAATTCAGGCTAAATTACCTACATAGCATAGTCACAATTTGGTATTTTAAAAGAGGCAAATGACATGTTTTAAATGATTAAAATTTGAAACTATGAACCAAAGTTATAACTGAAGTGTCTGTTAAATTGTGTGGGATAAGTTTTTTTTTTTTGGGCTGCGTGGCTCGTGGGATCTTGGTTCCCGGATCAGGGATTGAACTCGGGCCACAGCAGTGATAGCGCCGAGTCCTAACCACTAGACCACCAGGGCATTCCCCTGTGGGATAAGAATTTTAAAGTTTATTTTATAGAGGAAAAACTTTAAGCATTTTCCCCCATGCTGCCTTTCAATTTCTACAAAAGCCGCATTTCATTGCCACTCAGAAGTAACAAAAGGAAGAAGCCAGGAAGTGTAAATCTCAAAGTATGCATTTAGGGGGACAGCTCAGCTGCCGTGAAAGGTTTAGGTCAAGCATAATATACGTGCACCCATTCCAGCCCATTTAATGCCACATATAAAGTACCCCAAGAGGCCCCGCGGGCCCATCCTGCACAGCCCCGCCTTGCCCAAACCCCGCCCTTCCAGTCCCCCGCCCACTTCCTCCCATCCCCCACACGGCCGCCCACAGGCGAGGTCAGGCGGCCGCGCAGCCGCAGTAGCTGCCACGGCCGCTCCTAGCCCGGGGGATCCTGGGAGCAGGCCTTTCCGGAAGGACCGGTTCGGCGTCGGGGCCTCGGCCCGTGTTGCAGCCCAGTGTTCCAGGCCCTTGCTCCACGACGGGCCCGTAGCCGCGGCCACGCTCTAAGGACAGCGGAGGGCGAGGCGCGCCGCTCGCTGAGGTGCCCGGCTTCGCCGCCGAGCGAGCCACGGGGCCGCAGGACGTGACGGCACCTCCCCCTTGGCCCGGAGCGGAACTGCGGGAGGAGCGGCAACGCAAGCCGGACGAGGTGAACCGGGTCACTAAACAGCCTTCAGGTGATGAATCATCTACATAATAATCAGATTTGAGGTCCACAGCCCTCTGTGGGCCTGCTATAGAACAATTTTCAGAGAGTGACTGGTGTGTTCTGAGGTGTGCCACAGTGACTGTTTGCCCTTGATAAGGAAAGCGAGCTCTCTTGCTCTTGGGACATCCTCGTTTCCTTTAAAGCTTTCAGGTCATAACCTCTTTGGCCGGCATACATCTTTGTGCAAGAGGAAGGCTTTCACATGAAAGTGTCTCTTGGTAACGGTGAAATGGGCGTCTCCGCCCATTTACAGCCTTGCAAGGCAGGAACCACACGTTTTTTTACCAGCAATACTCACAGTTCGGTGGTTTTGCAAGGCTTTGATCAGCTTAGAATAGAAGGATTGCTTTGTGACGTGACCCTGGTACCAGGTGATGGAGATGAGATCTTCCCTGTTCATAGAGCTATGATGGCGTCTGCTAGTGATTATTTCAAGGCTATGTTCACAGGTGGAATGAAAGAACAAGATTTAATGTGCATTAAGCTTCATGGGGTGAACAAAGTTGGTCTGAAGAAAATAATTGATTTTATTTATACTGCAAAACTTTCTCTTAATATGGACAATCTTCAGGACACACTTGAAGCTGCTAGCTTTTTACAAATTTTACCTGTTTTAGACTTCTGTAAAGTGTTTCTTATTTCAGGAGTCTCTTTAGATAACTGTGTTGAAGTTGGACGAATTGCTAACACCTACAATCTTATAGAGGTAGATAAATATGTCAATAATTTCATTCTGAAGAATTTTCCTGCATTATTGAGTACTGGGGAGTTTCTAAAACTCCCTTTTGAACGGCTTGCCTTTGTGCTTTCTAGCAATAGTCTTAAGCACTGTACTGAACTTGAGCTTTTCAAGGCTGCCTGTCGCTGGCTAAGGTTGGAAGACCCTCGGATGGATTATGCTGCAAAATTAATGAAGAATATTCGATTTCCACTGATGACACCACAGGATCTCATCAATTATGTGCAGACAGTAGATTTCATGAGAACAGACAATACCTGTGTGAATTTGCTTTTGGAAGCTAGCAATTACCAAATGATGCCATATATGCAGCCAGTGATGCAGTCAGATAGAACTGCCATTAGATCTGACTCAACCCACTTGGTTACATTAGGAGGAGTTTTGAGGCAGCAGCTGGTTGTCAGTAAAGAATTACGGATGTATGATGAAAGGGCGCAAGAGTGGAGATCTTTAGCCCCAATGGATGCTCCTCGTTACCAGCATGGCATTGCTGTCATTGGAAACTTTCTTTATGTAGTTGGTGGTCAAAGTAATTATGATACAAAAGGAAAAACTGCCGTTGATACGGTTTTCAGATTTGACCCTCGGTATAATAAGTGGATGCAGGTTGCTTCATTAAATGAAAAGCGCACATTTTTCCACTTGAGTGCTCTCAAAGGACATTTGTATGCCGTTGGTGGGCGAAGTGCAGCTGGTGAGCTGGCCACAGTAGAATGTTACAATCCAAGAATGAATGAGTGGAGCTATGTTGCAAAAATGAGTGAACCCCACTATGGCCATGCTGGAACAGTGTATGGAGGCTTAATGTATATTTCAGGAGGAATTACTCACGATACTTTCCAAAATGAGCTCATGTGTTTTGACCCTGATACAGACAAATGGACACAGAAGGCTCCGATGACTACAGTCAGAGGTCTGCATTGCATGTGTACAGTTGGAGACAAGCTCTATGTCATTGGTGGCAATCACTTCAGAGGAACAAGTGATTATGATGATGTTCTAAGCTGTGAATACTATTCACCGACCCTTGACCAGTGGACACCAATTGCTGCCATGTTAAGAGGTCAGAGTGATGTTGGAGTTGCCGTCTTTGAAAATAAAATCTATGTCGTAGGTGGATATTCTTGGAATAATCGTTGTATGGTAGAAATTGTCCAGAAATATGACCCAGAAAAGGATGAGTGGCATAAAGTTTTTGACCTTCCAGAGTCACTTGGTGGCATTCGAGCTTGTACTCTCACAGTTTTTCCACCTGAAGAAAACCCTGGGTCACCTTCCAGAGAATCACCTCTTTCAGCACCTTCAGATCATTCTTAGGACCAAGGTGTAAAATACTTTTGCAGTGCATCATGGATGGTTCCATACTTCCCCTTCAGTTGTATCCTCTTACATTGATTGGTACAATTATTAGATAAAAAGGTAATTGATGTTATTTGTATTGCTTGGCTTAGTATGTTTATCAAATGGTTAACAAATGCATTCTGAAAATGTATTCAACATAGCCATTTTAACAAATATAAAAAGATAAGTAGAAAAATGTTTGTTAGATGTCTTTTTGTGGTGGTGTGTAAGTCAAAGTGTAGGTGATTGTAGTAAATGTATAATTCATTATGCTTCAAAGTTGAAAGTTTTCATCTTTGACTACAAAACATCAAAGGGAGGCTGCCTGCTCTAACCTAAAATAATAAACAAAAAAGGTCTCCAAGCCTTATTAGCTGCCTCCCTTTTTTCATAGAGTTTTTGACATAGCTGCCAACTCACCAGATTGTGTGGGTACATTCAGAATATGTGACGATTCTTAGGCAGACCAGAGAAATAATAAATTCAAAAATATTAACTCAAAAAATAGTATAACCCTAAGTCAGGATTTCATATCTTTCTGGGGAGAGGGAGAGAGAAAATACACACACACACACACACACACACACACACATATGTATATGCATGCATACACATAATTTTTTTTTTTTTTTTTTTTTTTGTGATACGTGGGCCTCTCACTGTCGTGGCCTCTCCCATTGCCGGACGCGCAAGCTCCGCGGCATGTGGGATAACTCCCGGACCGGGGCAAGAACCCGTATCCCCTGCATCGGCAGGCGGACTCTCAACCACTGCGCCACCAGGGAGGCCCCATACACATAATTTTTAAATCAATTGGCACTTTAGCTATAGTGAAATTGTTTTTAAATTTAAATTCTTTTCTGCCTAGCAGCTATTTCTATTCAAACGGGAATTCAGTACTAGAGAATAAATGTCTATGTTGTCTTACTGAATTGATGTAGATAAGAACTACAACATTAAATTGACAACCAAATTTGTCATTTGACTGAATTGTTACTACAGATGAAACTTGTCACTTTTTCTGCTTGTATATTGTTTTCTGTAGAGTTGCCTTTATACAGGTTATTTAGCAAAGTTCAAGTCTCAGAGAATTGCTTCTTCTCAGTAACTTTAGGCTCTGCTACATTCCACCTTTTTGTTCAGTAAAACTTATGAACAAGACAAAGAAAAACATACTGAACAAAGCTATAGGTTTTTAAGTTCAGTCTCCCAACTTAGTCATTCTAACATGACTGTTTGATTTGAGGTGGTTGCCCTGGTGCTGCTCCAGCCCATGTGCATCCTGAGCTTTGTGTGATCTGCCTCAAGGCTGTAGTCTGAGCAAGCAGAAGATGTACTGTTTGGCATCAGGTCAGAAAAATGTCTTTTTGGCTATGTCTAAAGGACAGGACCAACTTCAGATTCCCTAAGAAGCCAGCTGCAGAAAGCCTAGGACACTGCTGTCTTGCATGCAGTACTAAAGTAGATCTTCAGCCTCTTCAATACCAAGGGCATCCCTACTGGTTCAGAACCACATGGGGAGATCTTAATGGGACCTTATCCGCAAATGGAATCATAAGAGTCCTCCGAAGTGAGTGATTCTGAAGAATCTGAAGAGTTACTTCCCTGGAATAATTGTCTACCTGAAGAAAAAATTTACATATATACATTTACATACATATGTTTATATTTATATCCCTATACTTGGGAGATTGTCATAGTGTAAATCAGGAACAAGCTTCTCTTCATTGACAACCTCATAATAAAACTCAGGAACCAAGACAAAAGGAATTGGCTTCAAGGGATCTGAACCTCACTGCCCATACAGGTATTGATTCATTTTAATGCTTTTATGATTTCTGCATTGGCAGAAAATTTCATACTTCCTATTTTTTTTAAATGATTCAATTTTTTATTACTAAAAATAGCACATTTGAGAACATTTAGGAAATAGAAAAAGTAGAAATTGCTAATAACTTTGTACATTGAATAAGCAAGAAATAGCATCCCAGTTATTTCCTTAATTATTAATGAAGTTAAATATTTGTGTTTTTTGAGTAGCTGTGTTCCTCTTTAATCAAATGTTAATATCCTTTGCCCTTGTAATACCTATTGGAGTTGCTTCCTTTTTCATATCCAGTTATAGGATCTCTTTATATAATAAATATAATTTAACTGGCATTTGCTTGCATTGACTTTTTTTCTCAATCTGTTAGAGGTTTACAGAGGCAGGGCCGTTTAGTTAATTTTTGAGATCAAATTTGTCCATCTTTTTGCATTTTGACCTTTTGGGTATAACTTTGCTATGGTTCCTTTATTTTTTACATCATTTTGATGTATTTTTTGGTTCTAATTCTGACATGCTGAGATGGTATTGCCCCATGTCTGCTCTGCATAAGCTTTTCTCTTACCCTTGTTGAGAAAAGGTTTCTGCCTTCTATTACATTTGACTGTGTTGCTTTGTAATTAACTAAATATTGTTCAGCCAGGTAAGTTAACTGCTCCACCTTTACCCCCTGCCTCAGCCTCACACATCCCACCTCTTATTCTTTTACTGTATAACTTTCTGCAATTGACAGGACTCTTGATAATCATAAAACAGCTGACTGGTGCTATGCTAATTAAATCTAATTAAATCTGGAATTCCTTCCTTACAGATAAAGAAATTTGAGGTGACTAAAATGATTGGAAAGATATCTTTATTTTACAAGCTGATAGTTTTTTTTAACAGAACATTTAGAAAAATATTTAAAAGGGGATAAAAGCTGCAAGCATGTAAAGCATTCTGTTAACATTTTATTTCTTGTTTTAGTTTTTCTGATAGGTTCAAAAATAAGCTTTTGTTAAGTTTCCTGATTATAAAAATAATTCCTGTCTATTACAGTAAGTACAGGAAAATAAAAGTGAACAGAGGGTGTAAATTATCAGTGATTCCACATGTCAAAAGTAACATGTTAATACTAGGTATATTATGAATTTATATATGTACAGACATTTGTCAAATACTTTGCAAATATGTCAGAACTTAAGCTAAAATCTGGATGATAAAAGGAAGTAAGTTCAACTTTCAAAGGCACATACTGCTTTCGTTATGGCTTTCTCCAAGTTTTCTAAAATCTGTATGTATTAGAAAATAATATGTAAGGTGCCTTTTTCCTAATTATCAAATGCATGTGCATTAAGAAAAACATTTCATTTTAAAACCGGATAAAAATCCATATTTAATTTTTTTCCCACTTGCCAAGAGTAGTATTTCTGTAGATTACCTGCAAAGCAAACATATTTAATCATGTTCAAATTTTTCTGGTTTGTAATTAAAATTATCTTGTTCTGATTATAAAGACAATATACTCCTACAGAAAATTTCATTCAAAACTACAGAAGCATACTATCAGAAGTAAAACCAACGTTCTATCCGCAGCTCAACGATTGAAAGACCTTAGGGTAAGTTAACCTCTCTAAGTTTCATTTTCTCATTTGTCTATTGGGATTGGTGGTGGGCATTAATAATTGTTATCTATATCAGAATTGGAAGGAGATAATATTCTAAAGTGATTAGCATAAAACATAACACAGAGAAGCATTTAGTAAGATATTTGTTACTGTCATTGTATTGCATAATTTTTTACTTTAGTTTTGTCTTAATGATTTTCACAAGTTCTTTTATTTGAAAGTGTTAAATGTCTATACAGTATTTCACCCATGAATGTGCCTTCATATTTTTTTTCCATTTCTCTATGGTTATATATTTAAATATCTACCCCCAATTTTTTATCATAAATTAAGCAAATTTAATATTCTTTCATAAAATTTTGTTTATCTCTTATTACCCTGTGATAAATTCTAAGTAAAATCTGAGTCAAACAGTGTAGGCTTTTTTAGGCTTTTGAAAAATATTTCCAGGATTGTGTGCCTATGCGTTTTCACCAGAATGTGTTTGGTGACTATTTCAAAGGCAATCTTGGCAGTTCCAGTTATCTTACTGTTTGGATTTATATTTCTTTAATTATTGGAAACACTGAATTTTTTGCTTATTGAGCATGTGCATTTTTTCATATGTGAATCATTTGTTCCTGTCTATTATTTTAAGTATCCTATTAGCTACAAAGACTTTTTTCCTCAATTTATGTCATTTTTATGGGGGCTGGGCTATTCAATTTTTAAAAATTCAGATATAATGATATTTGTTTCAGGCATACAACATAATGATTCTATATATATGTATATTATGAAATGATAAGTCTAATTAACTTCCATTACCACACATAGTTAATACAATTTTTTTCTTGTGATGAGAACTTTTAAGATCTACTCTCTTAGCAACTTTCAAATATACTATACAGTATTATTGATAGTCACCATGCTGAACATTATATCCCCAGGACTTATTTGTACCTTTTGACCACCTTTACACATTCAGTTTAATAGTCAAATATGTCTGTCTTTTATTGCATTTTGACCTTTTAGTGATAATTCTTTTTCCATAGTACTGATGTCATATGCCTTGTCCTTTATTGCTTTGTCAGTGCTTATTCTTAATGTGCTAAAGTAGCATTTACTGCTTGTCTCTTGTTCAAATAGCTTTTCTTTTTTCTGGTTGAAATGAAGATGAATTTTTAAAATAAATTTATGAAAATTCCTTTTATATTAAGACTGTTAATCTTTTTTACAGCAAGTATTTTCCCATCTTTCTTTGAGTGCATGTCTTAACATACAAGTTTGTTTTTTTTTTGGCGGTACGCGGGCCTCTCACTGCTGTGGCCTCTCCCGTTGTGGAGCACAGGCTCCAGACGCACAGGCTCAGCGGCCATGGCTCATGGGCCTAGCCACTCCGCGGCACGTGGGATCCTCCCGGACCGGGGCCCGAATCTGTGTCCCCTGCATCGGCAGGTGGACTGCCAACCACTGCACCACCAGGGAAGCCCCCAAGGTATTTTTGGTAATGTAGTGAAATTAGTTTTTCCGTTGTCATTTTTTTAATGCTGTCTTGCACAACTTCCCCCCATCATGTGAAGGTGTAGTAATTACCCTGGTATTTTATGTTATTGTTATGGATACAGCTTTTTACTAGTTTTCTGTTTCCAAGTTATTATCCACTTGTTCCATCACAACTTTTTGAATAATCTTTACTTTCTCACTGAATTTTTATGCTTTGTAAAAATCATGTAATAAAGGTCTTATTTATAATATGGGCAAACTAGGGTCTTTTTCTTCAGTTATAATGATATTTTATTGAAGTTGTCCTTGGCATGTAGATTGCTGTTTTGAATGGGGTTTTGTTTTCACATTATATTTCAAACTATTGCAGTAGTAGGAAATACATGATTTTACCATGTTTTTGTTATTACTCTCATTGATTCTTAACATTTTGAGGGGATTTTGGGG